GGGTCTTGTTCAAGATGATTATTTCTAACAATGGTTTTGTATATGAATGCCAACCTGCTTTCTATTTACCATTATATCTTCAGGGACATTTAAGCTCTCTGGAAACATCTGTGGCACCAGATTTTATATTTCCTTGTCTGATATTAATGTTAACAGAGTCAGACAACAAGTAGATTTCAAGCTGTATTTTTCTTGGGTCATGTGGGGATCATCCCTGGATCTACTTTTTCCTTTCTGGAACCCCTATTGGGGTGGGATTAACATGTAGTGAACATTAAATATGGCTTCTGATGGAGAATCTATAGGGCACGGCATTTCACTCATTTCTCATAAGGTTATAAGTAGGAATTTTCTTCTTCATTTTATGTAAGTAGAAAATGAGACTCACAGTCTATAAGTCGCTTTTAGTTACACAGCCAGACAATTCCTACAGGTGTACGCTGAATGTTGAGAAAACATAGATGAGATTCAATGAGTCTCATAGATGAGAAATAGCTGTAAGGTATCATTAGGTCCTGACTACATTGTAAATTATTTATTCAAAATCAGACAGCTAGTAAGTGTCAAGACAGAAGTTTATACCAGATTGCTGCTTCCACACAGAAATTTTAAAGAATGTTAAAAATGCAAGAAACTGAAGGTAGAAAAATGCTATCTAATGATACGGCTTTTAGAAAGTCAACTAAATTCGATGTCTGTTTCCTAATCTGCCAATTTTGGTTTCATTCTTCTTAATATTTGTGGGCAAGGTACATACACACACAGTGCCACTTAACTGATTACTGCATACCTATAAAGAAGGCTCTCGTTTCTGGTAAAAATTAAAGTTTCTTTGGATTTATAATTGCACAAAAAATTTCACAAAGAAATGCCAACCATACAACATATTTCAAACTTCCTTCATGATACTCTTTGCTGAGAAATTTCTCTAGAAGTACAGATGCTTCTCCCTAGTACAGAACCCTGCCACTGTTACTTTAGCTGATCAATACTTGATACTTTTCATTTTACACAGTATTTTAAACATTCTTGGCTTACTTTCATCCCTGATTATGTACTTAATACTCTGTCTAGCCCTCTTCCTTCTGGAAAGCTTTTCTGTTCTGATTAAGTCCCGTCTCTTTTGCATGGGCAACTCCCTAAGCAAAATCTCTCCTCATTCCATTTCTATCTTGCCAGCTTCTTCTGGGACATAATCTCAACACCCATCCTCCAAAAAGAGGAAGGACCAGTCTCCTGAAACTCACCCCCTATTTACGTTGATGAAATAATCATTCCTGATTTCTGGACCAGGAACCTGAACACTGCACTTCTTTAGCTCATGTTCAGTATATGCTCTTGACAAAGATTTGTTTCTTCCTTTTGGATGTTATCTAGGTTCATCCTCTCTGGTCCATCTCTGTTATGCTTGTGCAGACTCTGACTTCATTAACTAAGACACCTGCTACAGTTTCCAACACATTTCTCCACTGCAGGCTGACTTCTGAATGAACCTCACTACCTTGGCTTCACTGCCTATGTCCTCACTTGAACCTCACTACCTATGTCCTCTCTCTTCTCTTACCTGTATTTCTGTCACATCTGTCTAATGCCTCCCTCCTCACAACTTGTCATCACCACATCTGTTTTCTACGCTGCAAACGATGTATCTTTCGTTTTTGTGGGGAAGAGGTATATGTATATTTTTATTTTTATTTATTTTCATATTTTTTTGAGATGGAGTCTCCCTCTGTTGCCAGGGTGGAGTACAGGGATGCGATCTCGGCTCACTGCAACCTCCCCTTCCTGGGTTCAAGCAATTCCCCTGCCTCAGCCTCCTGAGTAGCTGGGACTACAGGTACATGCCACCATGCCTGGCTAATTTTTTTTTTTTTTTTTTAAGTAGAGATGGGGTTTCACCATGTTGGCCAGATGGTCTTGATCTCCTGACCTTGTGATCTGCTCGCCTCAGCTTCCAAAGTGCTGAGATTACAGGTGTCAGCCACCATGCCTGGCTGAGAGGTTTTTTTTTTTTTTGGAGAGATGGGGCTTTTCCATGTTGGCCAGGCCTGTCTTGAACTCCTGGCCTCAAGTGATCTGCCCAACTCAGCCTCCCAAAATGCTGAGACTACAGGCCTGAACCACTGTGCCTGGCTGGGATGTATCTTTATAAAGCACAATGTTTATCCTGGGGGCAAGTGAGTGACATTGTCAAGGCCAAAGTCCTTGGCATACACGTAGAGCATTTCATGATTGATTTCATGATTTATCACACAGGTACGTGAATGCCTGCTGCAACTCAGGCACCACAGTAGGTGCTGGGAATTCAGCACACGATCCATTTCCAACCTTAGGAGAGTCTGATACCCACACACTTCTCTGCCCTTGTCTTTGCACACACAGAACCTGCTACGCTAGCTTCCACTAATGCGGACCAACTTTCCAACTTCTCACATACTCATTCTACTAAAATGCCTTACCTTTTTAAAAAAAAAAATAATAGCTAAGTTGTATTGAGCACTTGCTACATGCAAGCTACTATTCCAGATGCTTTAACGACTCCTTTAAATCTCGCATTACTTTGCTAGAGTTGCCATAACAAAGTACCACAAATGAGTGGCTTATACAACAGAAATCGATTGTCTTACAGTTCTGGAGGCCTGAAGTCCAAGACTGAGGCATCTGCAGGTTTGGTTCCTGCTGAGGGATCTGAAGAAGGCTCTGCTCCCAGCCTCTCCCCAAGCTGCTGGAGGTTTGCTGGGAATCCTTGGAGTTCCTTGACTTGCAGAAGCATCACCCTGATCTCCATCTTCGTTTTACGTGGTGTTCTCCCTGTGTGCGTACCTGTCTTCAAATTCCCCCTTTGATGAAGACATCAATCATACTGGATCAGAGCCCACCTTACTCCGGCATGACCTCATCTTAACTAATCACATCTGCAACAACCTGGCTTCCAAATAAGGTGCATGCTGTGGAACCAGGGATTAGGACCCCAATACATCACCACTGAGTGGACACAGTTCAGTCATAACAATTGTTAAGGTAAATTAAAATGGAAGTTAGACCTGAAGAACCCCTGGGCAGAAAAAGCCAGTTAGGTTTCATAAGTCACCTTAAACTTCCTTGATTGCAATCACAAGCAAAACTGAACATGAGCTATTTCGTATAAATATCTATATTAAAGAAAAATGAAGCTTTAAGGCTAACCAGTCAGAAACTGCCAGCCAACTCTTAACACCAGGGACTAGCATGCCCTACCGTTAATCAACATAACTTTCATCACGCAGGTTAGATGTCCCCTCTCTTGGGCAGCTCTCCATGACTACCCCCGAGGCTGGACAGTGGCTTTTCTGGGCTAAGCTCCATCAGAACTGTTAGGACACTCTACTGTGATCTTCTGTGTACTTGACTAACCTTCCATATAACTCATGAGCCCTCTGAACACAAGGGCCATGTATTTGTGGCACTTTGTTAAGGCAACTGCAGCAAGATTTAGAGGAGTCATTACCTGTAAAGCATTTGGAACAGTATCTTGCATGTAGCAAGTTTCATCCATGAGTCTCCAGGACCAAGCACAGGATCTTGTCCAGCCCTGTTACTGAACACTGTCTACCTGATAGTTCCTCATGTCAGTTTCCTCCTCAAGAAATTGCAGGGTCCTCTGGCTGCCGGTTGTATCAAATGAATCATCTGGCTTTGAAGACGTGACTTTTCCACATACACCCAAATAGATTCCTCCATAAGCAGTTGTAGCAGACACAACAGCTTTTTTTTTCTTTTTTTTTTACCTCCCATGCTGTATCCCCTTCTAGTTTTGATTCCTCTGCCTTGGATTTCCAGGTAACGCCACTCAACCAAATCCCACTTGTCTTTCAAGGGTAAGCTCCAGGCTTGCCTTTATTGTGAAGCTCTCTCTGCCTATTGTATGCTACATGGATTGCTCAGTTCTTAGACGTGTGGTCTCCTAATGCTTTGTGTGAGTAGCTGGCAATATGAGGACCAGGTCTGAGAATTCTTAGTTCACCCTCATCGAGTTTAACAATGGGCACCTATAAAAAGGCCTTTAAATATTCATCTTGATATGGAAGGACTCAAAACTGAGTCTTTAGCCATAAATGGCTGGCTTTTAGGAATAACAGGGAGTACAAAACTTCTTGTGTGATTGACACAATACGCATTTCAGCTTAGCATGTCCCCAAACCAATTGGAATCTCCCATCTCAGTTAATGGCACATCCTGTTGGCTCTGCATTCAAAGTATATAGGACCTCTCTTTTCTCATCCCCTCCTAGTCCCTGGGCCAGGCCACCATCTTGCCTAGATTACCATGTAGTCTCCTATGAGGCTGCCCTCCTTCTGCCCTTGTGCCCTGCAGTCCAATCTCAAAAGAGCAGCGAACAATCACGGCACTTTGAACTCTGCCTCCTTTCTGCATGGCAGCTCCACAAGGACAGCTTTTGTTTTTTTTTTACCGCTGTGTCCCCAGCATTTAAGCAGGGGCTGGCTTATGGATGTTGCATTATCATTTTTTTTTAACAAACAGCGATTGTTTTGTGGTTGTGCAGCCACTAGCTGAGTGTACCTCATGTCTTTCCTTGGTAGCATATCGTAATAGGATAAAAGCCATGGGAACAATTCAATAGTCAGGGTCAGTGATGTCCTCTGGGACTTTCTTTCAACTTGTATTAAGTCCAAAAACTCTTTGCAAATGAGAGCATGACACCAAGACAAGGCAGATCTGCATGGCTTTTAACCTCGATGGGAGGTTAAAAGATGGGACATGATGAGTTCACTGCTCTGACCTCTCACCAGACATATACTTTCCAAAAAGATCCAAGGATTCTGGGACTTGGAGATATTACTGAACTCAACATGTGTACATTTAAACATTTATTTCGTTGCTCCTACACTCTTATATTCTTCCCAAGAACGCCCCTGCGTATATCAGAAGAAATTTAAAAATGTAAAAGTCTATTTGCCCCAGAAAAGTATACCCTTGATGATCTTTTTTCCAGTACTCACCACTGTCAATTGCCAGGAAGAGAGCAGTGTACACGCTGTTGTGGACAAATGGGGACTCACGGTCCAGCACAGCTGTGGTGTCAACAGTTCCATTGATGGGGTTAATATTCAGCCAACCTGCTGGGTCCTTGTAAACAGAATACCTGAAAAAAAATCCCAACAATGTCAGACTGCATTCGAATTCAATTCAAGAAACATTTACAGAGTGCGGGGCATGAGCTCCTAGGCTAGGGGCTGGATCATATGTAACAAAAATCCTAACACATCGCTTCTGTTACAGTTGCTCATTCCCAAAGTAATGAGGCCACTGACTCTGGGTCTGCTTTGTGCTAAGCACTCTGCACATGCATCTCCTTTATTCCTCTTGACACTCCTAGGAGGAAGATCCATGAAGTTGATTTTGTGCTGTCTGCCCAGCTCTCACACAGGCTAAGCAGAGTTCACAGCCCCAATCCTGAGTCCACACCCAGTCTTGTTGCTGTCACACCTGGGATGCATCTTATCTGTGGACTAGGTAGGAGAAAGTGCTGTTGTGAAGGTATAAACGGGGCACACCAAGGCTGGGAGGAAGAACTCACTGCCTCTGATCCAGGGCAATGCTGGGGCCCTCACAGGAATGCAGTATCCAAACCAAGACAGGACGAATAGATAGGATGTCATCAGAGAGTGAGAGGACAGACAAACCAGGAAGAGAGAATACAAGTTAACACATTGTTATCAGTCCATCTTCAGGCTGCTGATAAAGACATACATGAGACTGGGTGATTTACAAAAGAAGAGTTTTAACGGACTCACATTTCCACATGGCTGGCGAGTCCTCTCAATCATGGCAGAAGGCGAAAGGCACATCTCATGTGGTAGCAGATGATAGAGAGTGAAACCAAGCAAAAGGGGTTTCCCCTTATAAAACCATTACACCCCGTGAAACTCAGTCAGTATCACAAGAACAGCATCGGGAAGACCTGCCCCTATGATTCAGTTACCTTTCACTGGGTCCCTCCCACAACACGTGGGAATTCAAGATGAGATTTGGGTGGGGACACAGCCAAACCATATCACACAAGGAACACAGATGTTCATTAGGATGTAAGTTACACAAAGGCAAGAAATTTGTTCACTGCTATGACACCAGTTTCTTGAACCCTGCTTAGCACATATGCAACATTCCACACATATTTGCTGAATAAATGAATATTTAGGGACTAGAAAGTAGAGGGTTGTGTTTGAAACAGTTTCTTTAAGGGAACTAAAACTTAATGAGTTTTGAGAAACAGATTAGACAAGATTATAGAGAACCTGAACTACTGTGGTAAGGGGTTTGGACTTTGAAATAATGGGAAACCATCTAAGGTTTTAAAATGTTACTTGTTTTGACCTTGCTCTTTTGAGGTTTAAAAAAATATAGAGATGCACAGAGTAAGAAATAATAGTCTTGTCTATCCGGGAGACTCAAACTGGGCATGACTTAGCTTTGTTTGAATTGGGTGGCTTAGATAATGTGCTGCTTGCAGACCTAAGTCAGAAAGATGCTGTTGGCACTTTTCTGCCATTTCCTACCGATCTTTGAAGCATATCCCAATGAAGAGACATGGGAACTCATAGCTTCATGGTTTAGTAAAGACGCATGAAGTTGATTTTCTCTGCCTTGTATGGTCCGGTTTGGGTCTAAGGATGTTTAAAAGCTGATATAACCAACAGGACTAAAAATCTCCAAATGAAGAGTTTGGAGTAAATTACCCCGGGTCTTCACAGGGAAAAAGATACCTACGTCCTAATCTGGGAATGTGGGAATGTTACCTTGCAGAGCAAAGACTTTGCAGAGCTAAGGATTTTGAGATGAGATTATTTTGGGTCATCTGGTGGGTATTTGGGGGTGCTAAATGCAAATCACAAGTGTCCTTATAAGGGGGAGGCAGAGGAAGATTTGAGACACAGAAAAGAAGACCACATGACCAAGGAGGCGGAGATTGGAAGGATTGTGGCCACAAGTCAAGGAATGCTGCAGCCATCAGAAGTGGGGAGTAGCAGGAAGGATCTTCTCCTAGACCTCTAGATGGAGCATAGCCCTGCCAACATCTTGATTTTGACTCAGTGAGACAGATTTTGGACTTTTGGTGAACTATGGGAGAATAAATTTCTAGCCATCATGTTTGCAATTATTTGTTACCATGGCTTTACTAATTTATTACAGCAGATACAATATCCCCACTTACACATGAGGACTCAGGCACAAACCAATAGATACTCAAGTTGTTGAGTCAGGATGTGGGCCCAGGTCTGACCTCAGAGCCGCGGCCCTGAATCCACACTCAAAACCGCTCTCCAGCTAAGTCAGTTACTCAGAGTGGGTGGCCAGCAGATATGTGTCATCTAAAGGATCTTACTTTGAAGAAGACACTGAATTCTGAGAAAGGGTGGCATCTAAGGCTAGAGTTAGGTTGACTAGAAGTGTGGTGGGTGGGATTATTCACATGTAGGTGGAAGTGACTGCCTCCTGTGTGGCCAAGGAGAAGAACTGCCCTTGTCCATGACTTAAAGGTAATCTTGGGGTCTGCAATGAGATTGTTACCTGGGGGAGGCTGTGGTTACTGGAAGAAGGGATGGTCAACTTCGGTTGTCAAGAAGGGCAGTCAGGAAATAAGAAATTGCTGGCTGTCAAAGGGCATGGGCATCTATGCAGTCACTACAAGCCTCATGGCGCCCCAGGACAGGCAGCAACTCACCTACCACCCTTGCCTAGACACCATCCAGAGCCCCTTCTAGGGCTTCCAGCCTCTCCTGGAGTCTCAGCACCAACCATCTGCAGGTCTTTGGGCTTCCAGGAGGCATCCACAGATGCTCTGATCAGCACCATTGTAATTCTTTTTTTTTTTTTTTTTGAGGCAGTGTCTCACTGTGTCATCCAGGTTGGAGTGCAGTGGCATGATCTCGCCTCACTGCAACCTCTGCCTCCCGTGTTTAAGTGATTTTCCTGCCTCAGCCTCCTGAATAGCTGGGATTACAGGTGCCTGCCACCACGCCTGACTAATTTTTGTATTTTTAGTAGAGAGGCAGTTTTGCCATGTTGGCCAGGCTGGTCTCAAACTTTTGGCCTCAAGAAGTCCTCCTGCCTTGGCCCTCAAAGTGCTAGGATTACAGGTGTGAGCCAACATACCCAGATGTGTCACTGCAATTTTAACTCACACAGAGGCACTGTGGTTTGCTATCGGTACTTTTTGTGTTGGGGTTATGTGAACTGACTTGAGAATCAAATCAAGTTTTTCTCCTGCAAAGTGGATGTACCAGACCCCCTAACTGCAGAAGGATGCCGGGAGAGGTTCCTGCCAATGCTTCCTGGAAGGTATCTGGCCTGGTCTCTTCTAAAACAACCTCGGGGTGTGGCTTTTGTTTAATATTGACAGTAACAGCAGCAGCAGCAGGAGCAGCAGCATTAAGCCTTACATGGCACCGGGCACCACTCAAGAAGCTTCCAGCATCTATGCCTTCAGCCCTCACACCAACTCTGGGAGGTCGACAATATTCCTCCCCTTTCACAGATGAGGGATGGAGAGGCCTAGAGATATATGAACTTTGCCAAGGTCGTTGGCTAGTACGGGGCATGGTTGGGATTTGCAGGCTGGCTCTCCGGTGGCAAGACCTGCTCTCAACCTCTGTGTGGGCCCCGCCCAGGCATCCACATTGCCAGCATGACGTGGGCATTAGGGTCATGGACTCTGGAGAGGAAAGGTCCTGAGTTCTAACAGTGAGCTTGGCAAGCTACTTCTCTGTTTCTGCTTCCTCCTCTGTGACTTGGGGACAGTCCCAGTGATGCTGTGGGGTAGCTGTGGGGGCAAACGGAGGCTGACACAAAGGGCTTGGTCCTGTGCAGGGCGCCCACGGTGGTGCCACTGCAGAGTCAGGCTGTGGGTATGTTAGTGGTTCGTCGGGGTCATGGCCTCGTGTGTCCTCCCCGGTGTGACTCACACTCCGGAATGTTTCAGAAACATCTGACTCAGCGGAGCCTCGGGGAACAATGTTTTGAAGTCGCAACTGTGACAGGGGACAGATGGAGAGGACGGGTGAGGCGAACGCAGGGCTTCCACACGCCCTTGCCGCTTGAAAACAGAAGCGATGTATTACTCATGAGAATGAGCTGCTTTAAAAACACCAGCCTTTCATTTAAAGAGTAACTGCTGCTTCCACCTGGCAAACTGCTACTGTGTTTCAAGACCCCACTCACATGTCTCCTCTCAGTTTACCCAGTATGACTTTCTCAGTAGAATCAATCACCCTCACTGTGTCTGTGCACGGCACATGCACTGGTAAAAATGCCTCTGGGAGCCTAACACGGCATCCTATGGGTCTGCCATCTCCACCAAACTCTAAGCTCCTTGGTGTCAGGATGGGTAAAAGTTGGTCAATAGATGCACAGAATGCTTCCGTGGGCCCAGCTTGGTGCTAAACCTTTACGAGCATCTCCACATTTAGTTTTGTGATTCACCACAACCTGATGAAGTGGGTATCGTCCTTGTTTTAAAGTGGAGATAACCAAGAATCAGAGAGGCTTAGCAGCTTGCAAAAGCAGCCCAGCTAAGTAGACACAGGGCTGGAATGTAGCACCAGCATGCTGGACTCCAGGGGCTGGGCTTCTCAGTACACAGCGTTTTTCATGCCTAAGGCCAGGGTTGTCTACTCTGCACCCCCAGGGCCGAGGAGAGTACTTGGACACAGGGTTTCTTACATCCTTTCTTTTTCAATCGGAAAAATCATGGGGATGGAAAAAACAAGAAAAGGCAACTCATCTTATCAGGTAACAAGTTTACTGTTGATCCAGGAGTGATTTGTAGTGATTCAACAAATTTGAAATAATGAAAGTTTTACATGAGCTGCATTCTATTCCCTGATTACTCAACTCAGTTTAGAAGATAAATAAACACTGATTTAAATAAATCTAGCTTTTATGTTTGGCGTACAAGCAAGGCTCTTTGCTTCTTCCTCTGTCATTCTTTTTTTTTTTTTTTTTTTTTATGATGTTATCATTTTTTTGTTTTTTTAACATGTTTGCTTGTTTTTTTTAGAAGAGGTAGGTGTAATCACTAAAACGCTTAGAGACATGAACTTGGAGGCAATCCTCTGAAACAATACTCAGCCCAGTTAGGCCTGC